AACCATACCTTCTGAAATAACGGCCCGTACAAACCGGGAAAAATTAGGAATAGTCTAGAAGTGAATGTCCCCGGATTCCAGTTAACAGGCATGTCAGCAGTTAATTAATGTAACTTCGGTCACAGCAAATTTGGAAATGCTACCCGGCTGCATTGGTTACGTGAAGATGCTATTTAGTAAAGCGACAGTTGGATCAGATTAAAGTATTTCTTTTTCAGAAGAGCAAGGGACAACTGATGACATTTCGTCAAAATCTAGTGAAGTTTTATCAGCAGACGAAATGTGCAACATTTCCATCGCTTTTTGAGTCAGCCAGTTACGAGCATCTTCCAAATGAAGGTAATCTTCCTTCCATTTCGTCTGGTTTTGCTTAAGGGGCTCTAAAAGAGATTAGCAGTGAAGTGAAAGAATCCGCTTGAAAAGAATTCTCTTGGTATTGTATTCTACTGGTTTATTCATTCATGATATAAGTCAAATTTTTCAGATGTATCAGACTTTATTAAAGAGCTGATAATGTGTTTAGTCTTTATCCAGTCGGAGGTATGCTTGATTGCGCCGCATCTCACAAGCGAGGTAATTTTTGCTCACTTTTTGCGATTCAGTTTGACCATATTAGTAATTTGGCCATATTTCATATTAGTAATTTCATTTTGGTCAAATCGAAAACGGTGAGTTTCGAAGAAAATTGGTCTTCCTTTTGTCGAATCTAGTACATCGTGGAAGTTTATCTCCTGTTGTGATTTTTGCTTTGGATTGCCGGTACCGCATAGGCAAAAGGTTTGGAGATAAGTTCTTAGCAGTGTTACTAGGATCTGTCTGCGTTCACCCTACTTTTTTTCAGTAACCACATGCCGCACCACTACATTGTTTCCTTCAAAATAATGGAAATGAGCATGCCTATTCCGATTTGACTCTTTGAGCGCATTTATGCAGCTGATAGCTTTTCTCGTTGCTTTGACCAGTATATTCTGCATTACCAGTTGAGATCTGCTGCTGCTGTACGTTTCGACTTTTGAAGGAAAGGTTTATCATCTCAAAATTGCTCGCGACAGAAACGCTTCGTAGGGCTATAAATTGTCACATAATATTTCACACAGTGATTTACTGCTTTTTGTTAAAAATTGCGTAAGGAGCAATTGCATCGCTTTGATGCAACACCCCTGGTCTCCGGTCCCCAGACATCGCCACCTCTTTTTTTATTCCTTTATTTTCCTTCACGTTGTATAACCTTAGTTTCTGTATATAGTTATAAATACGTTTCTACAACTAGATGTTTTTACACGTACTTACCACACGCATAAATAGGGTACGCACATTACTCCAATCTGGAAACTTTTAAGGTCGTGATAAGATTCGAGATACTTTTTTTTGTTGAGCATCATTATCTCATTCTGAAAATATTGCCATTGTTGGAGCAGGATAAGGGCGTCTTCCCAATTAGGAGTATGTGTATCACATATGTTTGTTTGTCAGATATTGAGTTCGGCAGTGCAGACGGCATTCGATCAGCTGCTCATTCGGCTGGGCCGGCTGCAGAATCTCTCTCCGGAACAGACAACACAAATAGTCATCGATACTACAGCTTTAGAGGAAAGCGTGCAGAATTTTCTATCACTTGGAACAAGGTTTTCTTTTGTCCATAAAATCTGAATTGTTTTGAAATTGCTAATTTGAGCGTGGAAGCATAATGAAGCACTAATCCTTCCTGCAATAAGTGTGCTCTGTTTGTTTTGAGGTTTCACATCAGGCTAAGAGAAGAGGTCTGTTGTTGTATGCAAACTTTTTTAACTTTGAACATTTTGAAAGGCTTATTCCATTATGTACTGATGTGCTGCGCTTTATCAATCGTTATCCAGCTTATGAGTTCGTCTAATCTGAAGCTCGATAAATTCAAAGGCTGATTAGATCCTTGTGTCACAGAAAACTCGCAAAAAGCCGGCGAAGAAGCGGACACAAAAAAAAGAGAAGAGAAATGTGTCTTGCCTTGAAAGGCAAATACACAGTAATTGTGCTGTCGGGCTGGACGTGGAGCACAGAAGCTGGTAGTGTAGCGGTAACACATTGCGTCCGGAGGTGAAGAGGAGTGGTTCGGTTTCCTCCCGGTCCAGGGGAATTTTTGCGGTGGGGTTCCGCTTAAGACGTATTTGTCCAAAGTCTCTTTTTGTTCAAATCAGAAAATTAGGAACAAAAAAACTAAGGGCCAAACTTGTTTGTTTAAACAGGTGTTTTTTTATAGGGCTGTTGTGAATGCATTTCGCGCCAAACTTGTTAAGAAACTGGATCAGCAGTAAGTTTCTTGAACCTCTCCAAAATGTCATTTTTTTAATCCGCTTGTAAGGAAACTTCGCAATTTAGGTTCTTACTTCATGCAATTTTAATCTGAAAGAAAAAAGTGCTCTTAAAATTACCACCTAGTGCTCAGTCGTAAAAAAAGACGTTAGTAATGCTGCTTGAACCTAATAAACACCTTAGCGTCTAATATCAAATAAATATTTACTTATTAAATGGGAAACATTATTATATCGCCGTTTTTGTCCAGGCAAAGCTAAGATTTTGCTGAGATACAGCTAAATTCCAGTGGTGCTGAACCGGTCCATTCTGCTCGGAACTTTATATTTTCGCCGGAACACAGACATTTGTTCTCGGAAATAGTTCATTTTTTGGCGAATACCCTTCGTTTCGTTGAGATGTGCGATTTCCATTGGTAATTAATAGACCGATTTGTGTGTGAGAGGGAGGGAAATCTGTACAGATAAGAGGTCGGACTGGAAATGCTAATGGCTCAGCATTCATCAGTAGTTAACTAGGCTGAAGGTGAAAAAATTTTTGAAATCTTTTAAAAAATTTTTTTACATATTTGTTTCTTTTAGAAGTTTCCAGCGAAGTTTGCGAAATTTTCGCGCTTCGATGCGCATGGCGATTGCGAGTTTGAACTGCGATCAGTCGAATGCTAATGACTCGTCCGATATATGAATCTCCCGCAAAAAAATTAGTTTGAGTTTAGTCTTACGAGTTAATTTTTGCTATTCGTGATAACATAATGATAAACGGCGGCTGCTTCCGGAAGTTAGAAAGGGAACAAGGGTACCAGTCAAATTTCGTGCTACTTTTTTGAAGTCTCCGTCTCCTTCTGGCTTGTTCAGCATGGCGGATTTATTTTAAATCACCATCTTTTCGCCTTCTAGTTTCCAGACGAGGAAACCATGGCCAGCATTGCCAGCGGATGGATGCCATAAGCAGCAGAGTGCTTCAATTCGAGCTACTTTTGAAAGTCTCTGTTTTTAAAAGAAATTTCTAAGCGTATTGGCTTTTAGCCCGGAGTTAAACAGTTGGTTTATCTAGTACAGTTAGCCGCTTCATTTTGCAGGTTATTAGACAGTATTTTTCAAGACAGTCGCATGTATTCGAGAACTCATAGAAATTTCAGATTAAGGGGACTTATTCTTAACAATTCCG